AATTCAACATACTAACTTGAAAATTCAACATACTAACTTGAAAATTCAACATACTAACTTAAAAATTCAACATGCTAACTTGAAAATTCAACATACTAACTTGAAAATTCAACATACTAACTTAAAAATTCAAGTAACTAAATTCAACATACTAGCTTCAAAATTCAATATACTAGCTTCAAAATTCAAGATGCTTACTTGAAAATTCAAGTTACTAACTTGAAAATTCAACATACTAACTTGAAAATTCAACATACTAACTTGAAAATTGCTTTTGTAGAAAACACATACAATGTATAGAAAATAGAAAGAGAAATTTCTAGTTGAGGTAAATGTGAAGGGAAAAATATTTACATATATTCAGGACTCGAATCAACCCCAGAAAATGGCAAACCACTGCCTTTCATGTATTTAATCTACTAAAATACGTGGAGGAGAAATTAATTAGTGGTAAAAATTCGGAATATAATGGCGGAATAATCGGCGCTACTTCACTTATGTACCTCTTTATGATTTCAATTTTTTATCAATACCTTAATACGTTGAGTCGAATAAATGGGTGGTCAAAACATTCAAACAGTTGGATATAATCGCGGAATACTCACCTTACTCCAACACCAATACCTAAATATACGCGGAGGCGAATTGTGGGATACAATGGCAGAAAAAATCAACTAAAAGAAGATCCCAAAATTAACATCATTTGGATTACTTGGATAACAAAGAGTTAAACTTTTGGTTACCCTTGAAATTTTGATAGAGAAAAGTTGTACAAGGGAATGGATAATTAGGCTATCTTATATAAAAATAACAAAAAAATATGGCAAAACTATGTTTTGATTCTTTTTTATGTTGTCATACGATGTTGGCCTTTAATATTACCCATTATCTGTCGGATTTGTATGATTTTGGTTTCTATCAAAACTATTAATTAAAACTTGTTGATCAGATTTTTCAATTTGGAATTTTTTATTCCCGATTGAATTTTTTGAAAATCTATTTCTCATGACTTTGGTATTGTAGGTTCTGATAAATAGAATTAATAAAATATACAGAACTTTTATTTGTGTTGTTAGTTACATGATTTACATACAGGAAGTAACTATATTGAACGGATTAGTATTTACATATAGCATACTCTTGTACCTGAATTATTATTAGAAAGTTACGGATTAAATTATATTTATAAACTAGAATCACTACATTACAATGACCTTAACCTTTAATTACCTTGAAATTTTTTAAGTAAAACAACATGGGCCTCAATTATCTGTTCTTATTGCTGATATTGGTTGAAAAGCATTATCTTACGGTTTTAGAAGAGCCATGCACAAATTGACATTTTTGCAAATATGAACGGCTGTGCCACATTCTTTAATACAGGGACTTGATTTTGTTCAGATTATTGATGTACGATCGGTCCTTTTCCGAACTATATATACTATAATGTATAAACATAGTCTTTAAAATATTTTAAATTTTTTTAAAATCGATGTGGTTTTCGTAGCATGTGACATAGACGAAAACAACATTTCAAACTATTAAATTCCTTATAAAATCAACTAAATTTGGACCAGAAAAACTTTTTGAAATGGTTTGCGTATCTTCTATTTCAGAAAACATTTTCTTATACATCAAATTGTTGACATATATTGACGTTTATATTGACCTTATACACGCGAAAGAGACTCTTGCAGTTTTAATCAGATTTTGACGTAATTGGGAATGCTATAAATAGATTTCAGATAAAATTGATTTCCAGGATTCGTTGAGGATCAGCCATCATCGATTTTATTTTTTATGTTTTATTTTCAGGTAGAATGGCCAGTCAACATAATAAATGTATTGGCAATTGTTTCAACAAATATGGTAGAATTGTAGCCAATAATCCATGGTGGTTTATAATAATACCAGTTATTATATGTGGATTGTTTGGGATTAGACTAATAAAACTTACCAGTGAATCAGATATAGAGACACTCTATGTACCTATAAATAGTCAAACTGAAGAAGATAGAACCACTGTTGAAATATTGTTTCCTGATAAATCTGATTCAAATTACTTTGTTCAGAGTTTAGCTAGACTTAATATGTATGGTGATATTATTTTTAAATCCAAAAATGGTGGAAATGCTTTAAGACTTGATGTAATAGATGAAATTAGAAGTGTCGTGTCCAAGGTGAAAGAATTTACTATTAATTAAAATGGTATAGATATAAATTATTCCCACGTTTGTGCTGTACTCGGTGGACAATGTTTTATAACTGGAGAATACATTCTTGATCCCAATTTTCTAACTTTATTTTTTCTCCAATATGGAGAACTATTAACGGTACTCAAGAGGATGTATCAAAGTCAATGAATGGTAAAAATGGAACATTGCAGGCAGTAATTGCCATCAAAATTATATTCAACCTACGCCAAACTGATGTCGCCATGAGTAAAACATGGGAAGAAAAGTTTGTAACTGATATGTCAAATCTGACAACTAATTTAACTGATTTTGTTTTTTCAACATCAACATCTTTGGACAAAGAACTTTCTGCTAACACTGGACAAGATATTACATGGTTTTCTTTATCATTTACTGCATTGATAGTTTATGCTTCTTTTGTTGCTTCAAGTGGTAACTGTGTAGCTAATAGAAGTCATTTGGCCCGTGCAGGAGTTATGGGGGTAGCATTTGCTATCCTAGCTGCCTTTGGTTTCTGTGCACCAATTTTAAATTTTGTCGACATAGTTGGCGTGATGCCATTTTTAGCATTAGGTAAGTAAACTATATCAAATGCGATAATGTATATAAATAAAAACGTCTCTTGACGAGAATGTTTTGGATTTATAAAGATTAAAGAGAACGTTGGTTAAGCTAATTTTGTTCGAGTGATGCCTTTTGTCTTGTGTTTTGAATTGTATATTTGATCTTATTTGATGGAATCGCAGGCCTTAGTCTATAATATCACAATGTTTTACAATATACGGCGTTAGGTTTCCATTGAAAAGATTAATGCGTCGTGTCAGGCTTTCAAAATCTCACAAATAGTAAGCCTGGCTCACTTGCTGATGAACTGACCTAATTAGAGTTGCGCTCCTTATCTCATAACTATTTATTGTTTTTCCAAACAAATAAATCAGCAAATGAGTCCTTGCCCGGTTATATGTCAGATAAAACACTTTCTCTCGGAATGCGAGATTTTTAACTTGCTAAAAACCCTCTGCTGTGTTTTATCCTATACACATTCACCCAATTATAGTTAATATTGATAATGTGGTTCTAAAATTATCAAGTACATGTATGTTCATTGTAACTTAATAAGTTAATGAATGACATAATTCTTTCCCCATCACCAAAATATGCGGCACATGTGGTCATGGTTAAAACTACAATTTCCAACTTCCAGTATCTATGTATAATAATGAAAGTTTATTTTAATTTTAGGAGTTGGTATTGATTGTATGTTTGTTTTCATGTCAGAATGGGCAGAACATTATGATGAAACTTCCGTAGAAGATCAAATGGGTGCAACATTGGAGAAATGTGGTGGATCTATTAGTATAACATCTTTAACTGATATCATAGCTTTTCTTATTGGTGTTTCACCAAGGTTTATCAATATAAGAAACTTTTGTGTTTATACAGGTAACCAATTTTAATATAGCTTATTGAAATAAATTTCTCATTGACCTGATAATATGAGTAGTATATGAGCTCATAGATTGGTCGCATTTTTCCACATTCCATTTCATTTCATGGGAAAACTGCGACCAATCTATGAACTCCAAAAAAAAAAGACCTAAATTCCCTACATTTCATAAATTCTTACAGCAAAACATCCTACATTTCATAAATTCTTATACTTAAAAAAGACCTAAATTCCCTACATTTCATAAAACATCCTACATTTCATAAAATTCTTACACCAAAAAACACCTTCAATCAATTTCCTACAATCCATCAAAAAAAGCATATTAAAAACACCCTTTTATAGAATAACATCTAGTTTTAAAATAATGTAGAAGGGAGATAACTCTTTTTTGGAAAATTTCTACTCAATTTTTAAACCTTAAAAATGGCAAATGAAATACTAGATCCAATCTTTAGATTATACGATCCGATTCGTTGTTCATTTAACAAGAGGATTATATTATCATCTCACCGACTGTTGGTTCTAAATCCCAATTGAATGATGGTGGTAGAATTACCTTCGAAATAAATTCATTATCGAATTGGTTGCATCTTTCCGATGCTTATTTCAGATGTGATTTCAAAATTAAAGATGGAACCCAGAATCAAGTTCCACAAACTAATACAACGTTAGAAAACAATTTCTTTCCATCTTTATTTAGCGAGATGGTTTTGGAAGCTGGTTCAAATCCGATAGAAACAATCAATGTTGAAAACAGTTTTATATCCTAAAGATTTCGATTCAGTCTCAGGTTGGATACCCGATGTTGGCGATGGAAGTGTTTTAAAAGAACCGGTAAGAAATGTTGCAAATGATGCTGATTTAGATAGAGTGAGAGTTGTTGCTCGAAACACAATAGAAATAGTAGGACGAGCAGCTAATCATGGATTTGAAAAACGAGTACTTCAGTACAATAATATTATTGAGAATAATAGGTGGGGTAATTACGTAAATTGGAAATTATATCCTTTATTCGATCTGTTGGAACACAGAAAGGTTTCCATAGGGTTACCATATAAAATTCATCTACAAAGAGAAATCAACGACGATAAGATATTCTTTGGAGAGAATGCTTCAGTTGCAAAATAAGAAATAACGAATCTCCAACTTTTCATACCCGTAATAACACCATCAATTGAAGTAGAAACGAGAATATTCAACTCGTTAACTAAAGATATTGAAATAGCTTTTCTTCATCGTAACACGGTAGGTAGCATGACTTTAACGGGAGAATCCATCACGTGGCCAATCACTATTAAACCAGCAAGATATTTAATGGTTGGTTTCAAGAACATACCAGATTCTCAAACGAATAACAATAATGTCTTTAGAGTGGCAATGAACCAAACTCAAAATCCTTTAATCCATAAAGTTCAAGTAAGATTAAACAACGATAATTTTCCTAACCAACCTTTAACAATTAATCCAACCACAAAGGATTATAATGAATTGTATAGAAACTATAAAAATATGTGTGAATTATTTGGAAATCTACCTCAGTTTGAATATGTAGATTTTGCACTTAATCATCCAATCTTCTGTTTTGATCTATCAGCTCACCAAGAAGACCTTTTCAAATCAGGAGTCAACATAAATATTCATATTGAAAAAACCCAAGGAGATGTAACCGGTTATTGTTTACCACTCAAAGAAGCAAAACATTTAATTAAAATTGCAGATAGAAGAATGATAAGAATTGAGTAAAAAATACACCCTTAAAAATGAAACCAGAAACTTTAGTTATGAAAATAATAGACGCTGTTGAAACAGCTTCACCAACTGTAATAACTTTCAACGGTAAAAAAATCAGTATAACTAAAAAACTTATTGATAAATACAAATATTGTAAAGTCAGAGACGATATAGATTTAGAAAGAATTAACGCGAACGCAAAAGAAGGTGGATTTTTACCTTTCCTTTTACCTTTGATATTTGGTGGTATTGCAGCGGCGGGTGCAGCTACTGGAGAAGTATCTGCCGCAGTCAAAGCTGCCAACGCAAAGAAAGCAGCTGATGCTAAAGCCGCTGAAGAACGCAAACATAATTTAGCAATTGAAAAGGAGGCACGAGGTTCAGGAGTGGGAGAAATGATAGGCACAATAAAAGAATTTGGAAAAAGATTTGGGGAAGAAACCAAGAAAACTGTTAAACAAGGATTAAATAAATTAATAGATAGTATTGACACGGGAGAAGTCATAGTCAAAAATAAGGTTAATGGAATATTTTTTAAAAATATACACACTGGAGAAGGAATATTTCTTTCGAAGTATAAAGGAGAAGGAGTGATTTTTGGAACAAATTAAAATAATAAAAAATGGACAAAAAATTTAATCATTCAGAAATATTTCCTAATAACCCTATGCTCATGTGTATATGCGGTAGTTCCGGTTCTGGGAAAACTCATCTCACTTTTAACATGTTGACAACACCAAACATTTTAGATTTCGATTCTATGTATATCTACACAACAACACCAGAGCAATCGTATAATCAATTTCTCAAAGCTTTAGAATATGTACCAAAAAAGATGTTCATGACCTATTTCAATATTACGAAGAAAACGAGGAAGAAGTGGAAATAAAAGATATCTTAGATAACTACATGGAAGGAAAGAATCCAACGGATATAAAAGTTTTTCTTACGAAAAATGTTAATGATCTAGACTTGTCTAATATTGATAGCAAACGAAAGAACTTAATATTGTTTGACGACTGCGTAGCGCAAAGAAATCAAGCTGTTCAACAAGAATTCTTCACGAAGGGAAGACATCATAACTGTCACTGCATATACCAATCCCAATCTTTTTACGGGATGGATTCTATGTTTATTAGAAAAAATGCAAATTGTTTTTTATTATTTGAATTAAACGATAAAGATTTATCTCAAATCATTCAGTCGATAAATCACAGAATGGACAGAGATGCATTTAAAAAGGTTTGTAAAGCTTAATGGAAAAACCCAGATGATCATGGATATATATTCGTTAATACTAGAAAACCTGCGGGTGAAGGAGTTATGACAGACATTTGTTAAATTTTATTTTTTTAAAAATGGATAATTGGAATAATGTTTTAAAAAGAAATAAAGAATATATCAAAGCTTAGAATAAAATAAAGACCCAAATTGAAAATAACAGATTACAACAACTCGGATTAACGGAAAATCTACAAACTCTATTTCAACCCATATTAAAATCTCAAAAGGATATTAAAAAGAAATTAGAACCTAAACATTCAACAATCACCGCTTCCTTCTATAGAACATCCCATTAAAGATGATGAAATCATAATTAGGTCATTATATGATATAAATCATTATTTTTCAAACCCTAACCCAGATTTACGAAAGAGCATTTCACCAATCGTTGATAAAAAAGTTTTATTGTTTAATGGATTTAGAATACTATTTAGTGATGTTTACCCTTTATTCGAAATCAAAAATGTTGATGAACATATAAAAAAACTTATTGCCCGTGAATATGAAGTTGATGAAGCTGATGAAGCAGATGATGAAGTTGATGATGAAGATGATGATGAATATGAGGAATCAGATGATGAAGATGAGGAATCAGATGATGAAGTTGATGATGAAGATGATATATCAGATGATTATGAAGAAAATTATCCACCAATCACAGAACAAATAGACGAATTGGAAGAGGAGATAGCTAGTGGACAAGGTATAACGTTTTTATCCGATAACAACGAAGAATTGCTTAATAGATTACTAGTAATATTAGCGGCAATGAAAGAAGGTCATCGATCGCACAGACAATATAATGAAGTGAATTGTATATTAAAAAGAATCCTATCATAGATAAAAATGATTATAAAAATGTCAAAAAAAGAACAACTATTCGTCATCACCTCAAATAAATCAGACATTAAATTATCTCTAGATTATGAGTACCAACTCGATCGAATATTGAATTCGAAGGTAATTTGAATCCGAACAAAATAAAATTGATATTAAGAAATAATAGTCAAGTTGATTTCAACGTAGAAAATTCATTGAATACGTTACTAGGATTTGATAAACGAGTATACACCCGATCCACTTTAGCACCACACAAAGCTAATATCGAGAATAATATCGATGTCATAAATATACATTGCAATTTGATAAACGGTGGATTTTTCAATAAATACAAACGTCAGATTATTTACAGTCTTCCAACATGCACTGTACCGATAGGATATAGAATTATAGAGAAACCATTTCAAACGACATATTTACCACTTAATTCCTTTATGATTAAAGATATAAATCGGGAAATTAAAGATGGTAAAAATAGGTTTATAGATTTTGGTAACGAGGAAATTGTTATTCAACTTCATTTAAAACAAAAAAATTAACACTCTTCATTCTCTTCTTGAATAGTAAGGTAATCGAAATCATCAAATTCGTAGTTTTCATGTATGTTCAATTCTTTTCCGTCGTTGTAAGGATACATGATTCCTTCACTGTTTGGTGCTTTTCTCTTAACGAGATTTAGATAACTTCTAAAAACTTTCTTTTGTTTATCCTTTGGAATAACTACTCCATTGGTGAAACTTTTTACCCAAGGTTTCTTAAATTCATTCGTTACATCGAGTCCACTAGCTAATGGAATATAATCTTCTACGGATATCTTATCATTAGAGTAACCCTTAAACGTTTTCTTTTCTTTTAAAACACCATCGGAAGTTAGAATGATTTTGTATTTAACTTTTGGCGCTAAATATAAACCAAATATAATTCCACCATCACCGTAATCATTCTTTCCTTTACAATAATCATTTCGGACACCAACCCAGCTTCATTTAATTTATCCCAATTGCTAGACGAAATGTATAAACTATCGGTATCCGTATAGTATATTTCAGGCTTATAAAATCCATCTATCACGCGAATAAAATTATTCATTATTTTTTTACTGTGAGACAAAACGAATGATCCCAAATGACTAGGTGTTAGTCGTGTAGATTTAGGAGGAATAAATTCTTTTTCTTCTTCATTCATCTCAACTATATATTGACTATCATTTACTTTTTCATAGCTTTTGACGTGTGAATCGAAGTTGGCTTTTAAAGTTGCTTCACTCCATAGATGTCTCGATGTATTTATATCCTTCTGAATAGATTTACCATACAACGCATTGCCTAATAATTTCATTCAATTACTACCTACGATATTACCTTCTCGTTTATATTTATTTCTTAGATCTCTCAAAAATATAATCTCTATAGGGTGGAGTTTTAAAATTTTCTTCGTAAACTATACCATCTAATATTTTAATAATTCGTCCACCGGCTTTCACTATTTCTTGAATATCGACCGATGTTAAAACGTCGTGACAGAAACCATTTCTGAATCTGATTTTAGTGCCAGTTTCCTTTTTACCTTCTTTATTCGTGAAAGTGATTTTATCTTTAGCTGGTATGGGTTGGAAGAACATGTTTTTGGGATATTCAAACCAGACTTTTAAAATAGCAGTTCTAAGTCTGAATTTCTGTTCATTAAAGAGCTTGACAAATTCTTTATTTTCTTCCGGTAGAAATGGTCTACCACTTTCCGCTCTCGGATATTCGCTATCTAATTCACTTTCTAAATACTCCTTTAAAATGGCGCAATTTTCATCCATTTTATTCGTTTCAAATGATTTTCGATTTGCCGAAACTCTTCCTCCTTTAATACTTTGTCTGATAAAATATCTTATAAAAGGGTGAGTATGTGAGTAAACTTTTTCTACGTTTTCTTTTTCGGTGTGTTTCGGAACCATTCTAGTAGTTTCATACCATTCTTCTTCAATCATTTCTTTATCGTAATGATATAAATAATACCAACCCTTTAAAGATAAAGAAGGAGCCGTTAGATTATTGGAAATATTCTGAAATACAACTTCTTTCATTGCTTGATTGTATTTTATCAAACAAGCTCCGAGACATAACGTATCTCTTTCAGCGTAAGGTTCCCATTCGTGTCTTAAAGATTCCCAATTATCTTTAGTGTATTTTGCAATATTAACATCCTCGATCTTTCTCAAATTCATTGGTAGATTAGATGAATTCCCCCATGCTGCCAAACTAGATGATTCGTGTTGATAGGAACATATGAAATTAATATTTTGCAAATAATTAGATTTCGGGGAAGGGAGGGTTTGATTCTCCCAAATGTACAGGCCTAGGGTGGAGCAGACACTTTATTTAGAAATTAGGATTAAGGGTCTTGATATTGGGTTTTCTTCTGTTCTTATTCTGATCTGAAATTAGAAAAAATAACTCGCCCGATGGGCGAGAAGAATAGTATCTGTTATGTGCTGATTGTTTTTATTTTTTATTTTTTTTTACTATGAACAATATTATCATTTAAGTTCTTATTTTTTGAATATGCAACTATCATTTTCTGCTTATAGACATGGGGGAATTTCTCTTGAAGGCTCTTATAGTGGGCATGAACTATCTTGCTTGCTCGATTGCTGGTTGTATTAAACGGGACAACAAAGGGTGCTATGCCTACATTATGATGAATATTTAGTCCTATAGGTCTTGCTGTATTCAATGTCTCAATCCAATGGGCTTCCCTAGATTGACGGAATTTGGTAGTTTCATCTTCGGGCAAGTCAATTTCTATACGCTCAATTGGGATTAGGGCGAGATCGTCTATTGAATGGTCGTCGAGGTTGAAATGATTAGAAACAGGCTTGTCTTTCTTTAATTTGATGTCTGACCTATGAGCATTAAAGCGAGTTCGTAAATTATTCTTAGTTTCTCCAACATATTGTTTGGGGCATTTCTTGCATGAAATTAAATATATTACATTCGAATGTTCACATGTTAGATGTTCCTGGATCGGAAACCTTTTATCCGTAGAGTTGCTTACAAAATAATGAGTTTCTGATATAAAGGGACATGTTTTGCATCTACTGGACAAACATGGAGCACTTCTTAAACCTGGAGGTACTTCGGCATAAAGTCTGTTTTTAGCTGCTATCTGTGCTAAGGTGGAATTTTTTATGTTTCGTAAAAATCGTTTGGAGTACCCACGCTCTTTCAGTTTTGAGAAAACAATCGTACAGGCTTGGTTGAAATCAGAAGATCTTGTACAAATTCGATGAAATCGTAAAACTTGTAACTTAATTATACCAGAAAAGGTATGTTTTGGGTGAAAGGAGCTCTTGTGCAAAAGTTGATGAGTATCAGTTTCTTTGAAATACACTTCAATATCCAGTTTATTTGTTTCTGCTATGGAATCTCCCTTAAAGACTGTGGTATCGAGAAAGTCGAAGCTTTTGTCACTCACGTTTGCGGTTAGTTTGATAGAAGGATGGTGGTTGTTGAGAATTTCAAAGAATTCCCAAACTGTTCGATAGAATAAGTCCAAACCATAAAAATGTCATCCAAAAAGCGTCCGTAAAAAAGTGGGTCAAATGGACAGATGGGCAACACCTCACGTTCCCACTCTGCCATGAAAAGGTTCGCGTACGAAGGGACGAATCGTTTGCCCATTGCTGTCCCTGAAGTTTGTAAATATGTTTTACCATTAAATGTGAAATCGTTTCGGCGAACACAAATCTCTAAAAGCTGTAGAATTGCATCGTCGGGTCTGTTTGGATCTGGGTTTCTATTAAAAGCTTTACGAACTGCCGTTAAACCAGTAGTGATATCGATATTGGTATACATAGAAGAAACGTCGATAGAAATTAAAATACCATTAGAGGGAACTCGAAGATTTTTTATTTTATTGACAAAATCGGTTGTGTCTTTAAGGTAGGCGCGATGTTGACATGCTAGAGGTAGTAAGAAATGATCAATGTATTCTGACACTGCATATGACTCACTACCACAGTCAGATATAATCAGGCGGCCTTTAGGGATTTTATTCGAGATAAACCACTCCTTGGTTGGATTCTTATGGATTTTAGGCAAAGTGTACAAATGTCTCTCGCGACAATCAGGTTTGGCAGACAGATAGTCATATTGTTTCTGTTTGAGATAACTAGTTTTGACTAAATCGGCAAGAATATTGTTAATCATGTTAGCAGTTTCTTTGAAAATTGGTTTCGGTAAAATGGCATAATGTTTAGGATTATTCAGTTGATTCTCTGCTTCTGAAACGTAATCCTCCCTATTCAGAATGACACAACATGAACATTTGTCACTCTTTTTAATAACAATGCTATCATCTTTCTTAAGTAAGTTTAACGCTTCACGTTCCACTCGTGTGAGATTAGGCTTTTCGTGCGTTATGGAAAGGTTCACTGTTTGGCTAATCATACTCGCAAATGCTTTCAATATTTCAGGATGGGTGGCGGCCTGAGGGGGTGTCCACGTGGATTTAGGAATAAACATTGTTCTAGCACCACGTGGGGGGTGGTTTCGAAAAAAATATGTGCAGCTAAGATTTCGTTGAAATCGTTCAATGGATGGTCGGAGATAATTCAAGTTAGCTATCTTTGGTGTGGGAATAAATTTAAGTCCACGGTCTAAGATTGAATGCTGAAGGGGTGTGAGAATTTGGCGGCTCAAGTTAACTACAGTTTGGCCTAGCGGTGGCCTCTCAGTATTTTTATCCCCAGTAATTAGTTTAAAGACTTACTCGATGCTTGAAGCTGGTGGAGACCAATGAAGATTATCAACTGGTTCGAATTCTTCTTCGTAGGGTGGTGAGATTGTTGCGCTGTTGATACTGGACTCCATCATCATGTTGTTGAGTGCTGAGGTTCTGTTGTGCTTTCTTCGAGATTTTATTTGAAATGGATACACATGTGAAGAGGATCTTGGAGTTTGGGAAGGTTTTGTTGGCTGTGGCGATTAATTTCTGGGCTTGGTTACAGGAGGTCTTTAGTAGCTGATCACGGTTGTTGAGGCCTACATGAATAATAATGGTAGTAGGTTTGGGATCATGGTCGTATGATTCCAGGATTGACTGTATGTGATGGATTTGGGCACCGGGGTAAAAATGTATTTCAGTGTCTGAACTGGTTTTGGTAATTCGATTCAGGTTAGATGATCCAATAATTAAGGTAGATTTCTTTAGAGCGGGTAGCTTCCATAATGATTTGTCCTTGGTTTGGTGATAATACGGTTTGGTAGTGGATATAATGGTCGTCGACGGTGTGATTGGTACTGATTTGGTAGTTGTTAGAATTGTAGCATTGGGAACGGACTGGGATCTCGTTCGAGGGGGGGAAGGTCTGGATATACATCTCGACTTGGATGGAGACTGAGGGGTGGTTTGCTGGTCCAAAAACGCACAGAAGGAAGAAAGGTTGGCGGATCCTGGATCACGTGGTGAAGATTCAGATGGTGTGGAAGGGGAAGACGAGTCTGAAAGTGCCCTTTCTACGAGAGCGTTTACCTATGTCTGCTGGACTAGGAGTAGGTGAACTTCGGGCTCGTTTAGGTGATTGGTTCGGCAGCGTCGTGGCTCTAGATGGTGCAGGTGTAGTGTCCATTTCAGTTGGTAGAGATATGGTTACTCTGGTTTTTGTTTCGTTGATTGTTTGGTAGAACTTGGAGATTACAGCTTGAGTGAGACGTTTCCCATAGGAGCGACGGGCCCAGGACAGGGCATGAGAAACGATGCGGCCGACGGCAGGTGATGATAAAGACTTGGTACGAATGGTGGTCAGCTTCTCTTGAAGTGTGGTTTGGTAATGGTCTATCAGGACCTGCGTAATCTTAGTAATCTTAGAGAGCCATGTCCGATTGAGGGATCTAATATTCGCGTCAACAGCTGATGTTTTCATTGCTGGACGGATAAAACTATCCAACTCAGAGATTTTACGTTTGAAGGTAAACGCTGGAGGCACTGCAAAACTTGGAAGAACACCTTCACAAAGGGTTCTTCCTCCTTATGAGTGGGGACTGGTTGGCGTCGGTGGGCTGGTAGTCGTTTCTGTTGTTGGTCAGGTCGATGGTTACCTCTTGATTGGTAGGTGTTGTAGGTAGGTCGGCGATGGGGTGGGAAATAGCTGGATGGGTTGGTTGGTGGTCGGCGATTGGTAGGTGGTAGAGATCGATGGAAGACAGGGCCGTTGTAGGGTACGTGATATTGGTTTGGTTGACGTTTAGTGTTTCTATGTCTGGCTTCTTGCCAGGGGTTGTTGTAGTTAGGGAGCATAATGAAAATAACTTGAGGTTAGAAAGGGAATGCACAGCGGATGTAACAGGAGGAAACTGTATATGCTAGCGTAAAAATGTGGGCATCAAATTATGCAAATAAGTCAAACTGGATTTGGGGATATATAAAGTAAGATGAAAGTTATGATGAAAAATGCAAAAGTATATATTTAGGTGATAAATAACGCTAACAATGATGAGAAAAATGATAACAAGTAAAACAAAAACTTACGCAATTGACACGAACCGGTTTTCGAAATATTATCCTTTTTCAAGTGTCGAGGAATTCTTCTGGGCGTTTTTAAAGGGCATTGTGTTAGTTTTTTTTACGTTTTTGATCATGATCCAGTTATCAAAACCGCTAGCGTTATGAGCAATTAATGTTATTCTTTTTTGATCTATTTTTCCTAAACGTTGTAACATTTGATCGATACAATCTGTACCTACAAATATTTCTACTATATTAGTAATGAGTTTGTTGTAAAATTCTTCTGGAATGGGATCCGTCGGCTTTAAAGCTGGAAATAGATTATTTATTCTGTCTAACATTTTTCTTAGTTTTTCTAAATTAATTAACGTGCAAGAATAAGGTATGGCTTTATTTTCGTTATAGGTTTCGCAATCCCATGCGTATAAACAATCATCGGGAACAGTTGGAAAAACGTTTAGTTTTAGAGGTGAAACTTGCGTTACCGCATTATCACCTTAACGAGTTCTCAATACATTTTCATCGTAATTATCTTCTATTTCTTTAATGCCTAAGGTTTTGTTATTTCTTCTTATCAAACAGAAATGTTCTTTGTGTAAATAAAAAACCCAATCTAATTCTTCGGATACTTTCTTTGGTTGAAAATGTCTATGTTTGGGCATATAAATTTGAAAATAAGTATTAAATTTCTTATTGAATTCGCAGATTCTAGCAGATGTCATAATTCCTTTTCTGTTTGATTTTGAAAAACTGTTGATGAAATCTTTAAAATCTCTCGTATAGTCTTCGTTTAAAACACGATTAACACACTTACAAAGCAGTATCCATCGCTCGGTATATAACGATTAATACCGATATATTCATTTATCTTTTTGAGTAGGGTAACACCACTACCCTTTTTTGATCTTTTTATTTCTTTGAAATTGTTTTTACGAAAAATTATAATTCCTGTGAAATACCAATCAGAAGCATCCGATTTTATATCCACTGTTGCGAAGAAATTGCGAAAAGTTTTGGCATTAAAACCTACAAATTGCATGCCTTGTTTATATCCTCCATCTTGAGTTATCTCTCCATCTATTTCAATTTGCCCTTTAAATATTGTAAATTCATTAGAGATCAGGTTAATAACATCGGAAAAACATTTTTTTGATATGAATTTTTCATCGTCTAAAATTTCAATTTTATTCATATTTTGATTATACTTTTATTGATGATATTTCTACATCAAATTTATCTAAAATTTCATTGAATTTTTCTAATTCTTCAACTGTTATGTTCTTGTCTTCTCTCGATCTTTCGAAAAAAATGAATAATTTATTAAGATATGTATTTTAAATTTTCTGTTTTCTTTTTATAATGAGCTTTCTGTTTTGATGTAAAACCTAAAGTAATCAATCCACAAGATGAAGTTTGAACGGCAGTGAACGAGGCTAATACAGTTGGGACAATTATTGGAAGCATTAATCCACCGGTTACGGCTGTTGCCACCGTTATTCCTACTGTTAAAACTGTACTTAATGTTTTGAAAACAGAATCGATTCTACTCCATGTTTTTCTACATTTGTTGAATTGTTCTTTTAGTTCGTTTTGTTTTTCTATCATGTATTGTTGTCTACTTTCGAGTTCCATTTTTTAGGTAATTAAATTAAATGAATTTCTGATAAAGCTGCTATGTGTTTATTAATAACAACTTTTACAGTTACTAACGATATTTGTTCTTTCGAATCATTAATCTTATTCAGATGAACTGAAAATTTTGGTTTTCTAATAAAGATTGATATATTAACATATGCATCATCTCTTATTAAAAAAATTTGACTTTGTTGACTTTTATGAATATCAATTGAGGTAAATTTACCATTATCAACAAAATATAGTTTTACGTATTCAAAGTCTGTCGTTCGTAAAAACTGATAACTGCTTATATCTTTTGTTTGTGGTTCTGGATTTCTAATAATATTCATTGATGGTGGAGTTTCCGTTTCCAATATCATATCAAAATCACTCAATATAAATTTATATTCTTCTTTATCTTGTATGATTAACATTCTAAACCAATCTATATATTTTCCACTCGTTTTAATTTCATATAAGTGATTAGCCTTGTTGTTTTCGTCGTTACTTTCATATTCTTTAGTTTCTACATTTTTTGTACCATTGATAAACTGAAGAACTTTTGTAGCGTTAAATTTTTTATTAGGTATATATAAGCCTTGTGTGAAGAAGCCTTGTGTGAAGAATAATGAATCAACTTTTACCTGAAAAGGGAAAGTTATTTCAATTATAAGTTTTCCTCGGAAATCCAAAAATACTGGTTGATAAGGTTTATCATCATCTGAATCAAAAATATTATTGGGGTAAATAATATCATTTGGAACAGAATATACTCTTATATTCATATCTTAAATTCATAGTCTCTTGAACTATCAATATTATCAGTAATAGAAGCATCGTTACGTCTCAAACTTCTAAATGGAAGATTGAAATAATATGATTCTTTCTTGAGAAACTTTTTTTAATGCGACTATATTTTTATCCTGTTTCAAAACTAGGTTATTAATAGTGGTTATCTGTTGTTGAATAACACTATCATCAATGTTCTGTATTTGTTGATGAATATAGGTTTTGATTTCACTATCATCTATGTTTTGTATTTCTTTTTTAATATTTGTTAGTTCTTTTTGTAATCCACTGTTAAGTTTAGTTTCCAGAGCATTTAATTCCTGTTGAAACGTATCTTCATTTTCATGTTATCTATCAATTGTTGAATGTATAATTTTTGTTTTGCAATCTTATCCTCTAATTTAGATATTAATGAAATTAAATTTTGTAACTCAGTTTTATTCGCTACGTTGACCAATTCTTTTTTAATAAAACTTATTAATCTTTGTATCTCTTGTTGTAGTTTAGTATCATTAACAAAATTTTTATTATTTAGTTGACGTTTGAAGAATCTTTTCACATTACTTATTTTATCTTCTAAATGGTTTTTATTTACTTCAATTGAATTTATTTGTTCCCGTAAATATTTCTTGTGAACGGCGTCATTATCGTTTTCCGGAGACTTTAAATTAGTTATGCTAAAATTGTTCATATCTAAATCACCTTGAAGAGTGTCTCCGATTTGATCCACAAAGTAAGGTTTCGCTTTATTTATCCACGTTGTAGTGTTAGGTTTTTTGGTTTCTAGAGATAAAGAACCCAATCCAAACTTGTTCGCCATTTTTATTGAGTTAAATTTATTACAATTTCTTCGAACTGTTTTCCTAAACCCCTAAACTGATATAAAACCCAAAGTGAAAGCTGACCACAAAACTTTTGTCCCGGTAATTGAATTTGAAAGGAAGAACATTTGATTGGTTTATTAGTCAATTGGATTATCTCTTCAGTGGGTTCTAATCCATAAGATTCGAAGAAATATAAGTCAGAGTCTTTGTACAAAGCAGAATGATGAACTCCTTTTTGATCGGAAGTGTGTATATTTGTTATCGCGTAAAATTTACCTTTCTTATATTTCAGATCATTTATTTCATCTCTCATGCAATAATAAAACGGTGATATATTTAACTCATTCGCCCATCTCATAAGTTGAAAGTTTGTGGTTGTATCGGTTCCATATTTATCGAGAAATTCATTCATTTTTTAAAGGCGTTTTTTTTTTAAATATATACGTAGTTTGTGTTTGAAAAAAATTGTATTACATTCTGATAAAACACATTCAATAATATTTTGAACATAAATTTAAATTTAAGAAAGCGAAAATGCTTGTCTATATCTCTTAATCTTCTATCAAATTCTTCTTCATTCATTTTTAAAAGTCGGTTTTTGATAAAACCTTCCTATAATTTGTTCTTTGTCTTGATCGATTAATTCATATGTTGGAGGTGATGTGGTGTTTACTTTATCAACGATGAATATTTCGTTCGTCCAGTATCCAACGTAACCTTTTTCAAATTTGCTTTTATTTTTGAAAATACGAACTCGATCTCCGACTTTAAATTTGGGTTTGATATTTAAATTCTTTATTTCATTTTCGTAGTTATGTTGCGCGTTAATTGACTTTATAATATTTGGATTACTCTATGCTTGTGTTGGTGTGACACCTATATATGAATGAATTTTGTTATTGTATTCATCTACAACCTCTGGTAATATTTTAAGCCATTTTTGATATTTCAATTCCGTGAATTTTTTGAATAATTTATTTTTTAGAGTCCTGTTAAATCTTTATATTACTACAGCTTTACCTTCGTTATGCGTGCTGTAAATTTCAAATCCCAGAGATTTCATATTTTTGTTATAAAATTCACTTCCTTTATCTACCCACAGTTTTTCTGGATGTCGGTTAGATTGTTTCATAATCGTTTCAAATGTGTGTTTGAATGATAATCCCGTTTTGTTTTTCAAAGGAATAACCCATACATATCTCGTATACAAATCTATAACTGTTAAGCAATATTTAAATCCTCTTTCGACTGGCATATGAATTTAATCGGCTGACCATATTTCATCTTTTTCAAACACTTTTACTTTTAAAAAGTTTTTAGTTTTTCTAAATTCTTTGTGAATTTCATCCGCTAATCCCATGCCCAATTTCATCTTTGCTCTTAACAGTTTTATGATTCTCTCTTTGAAAGTTGGATTTGGAATATTTTCAAGTTCGATTATCATTTGTCTGTCTGCTTCGTGTCTGAAGTTTATGTCTTTGTTTCTGTATAGTATGTCGTGTTTAAGCGCAGCGGCGTCAACTCTATTGACTGGTTCTTCCCCTGGTTTGGGTTTATTGTTTTCGTCTAATCGCAGATCTAACCTAGTACCTGGACCGGTGTATGACTGGGAAGATGTTTTTCTCCGGGATATTTCGCCCATGGAAATCCAGGAAGAGAACCCAATGATTTTTGTATATCTCCTGAACCGAAATAAGTTTTTGGAGCGTGAGCGACTATCATTTTTTATCCTATAACTTTAAAACCTTTTCCTTTCCTTTCTTCTAATCTCCTGTTTCGCAGATCTCTTATTAGTTGTAATTCTTTCAACTCGTTAGATTGTTTCACTGTGTCGCTTATGCTCTTTCCCGCTTCCGCGATTGAGCCGACGGCTTTCGCTCCGGTTGAAATGGGTGATTTGTTTTTTGAAACAAAGCTAGCTACTTTTGGAATTATTGTTTTACCTAGAGAAAATAATGAAGGAAAGATACCGTCGCCCGAATAATCTTCGAATCTGTGTTGTTCGTGTTTTAATTTTAAACTCATCCTATTTTTAAATGAATTAATTTAGTCTTTTTTTATCCAAAAAAGAGTTATCTCCCTTTTCTAGACTAAAAACAACATTACTTAAAATGAGGCTATTAAAAACCGGATGTTAAGCGAAACAAGGATGTTATTTTATATAAGGATATTTTTGATATGCTTTTTTTTTTGATGGAATGTAGGAAATTGATAGAAGGTGTTTTTTGGTGTAAGAATTTTATGAAATGTAGGATGTTTTATGAAATGTAGGGAATTTAGGTCTTTTTTAAGTGTAAGAATTTATGAAATGTAGGATGTTTTGCTGTAAGAATTTATGAAATGTAGGGAATTTAGGTCTTTTTTTTGGAAGTTCATAGATTGGTCGCAGTTTTCCCGTGAAATGAAATGGAATGTGGAAAAATGCGACCAATCCATGAGCTCATATACTACTAATATGATATATCATATAATTGGTATGTTACTGACACTACCCATCTCGAAGTGGCAAACGCCTCCAATGTTTCATAAGCAGACTTTGGAACAGATATCAGCAAACTCACAATATTAATGATCGTCTACTACAGCGTCGAGATTGTACAAGATGGTCAAAAGCAATTCTCATTCCCTGGGGTGATACTCTCAAAACACACATTATTCGCATACCAACAGTGATTTACTCCCATATATGTATATTATAATATATCTCCCAATTTCTAAGGTGTGATTTAAAAGGAAGTTTCCTGCATGTTCTTGTTGAGTATATCATGAGCACATCAGTTAAATTTGATTACATAGTTAACTAGAAATTTGTAAACAGGATATCCTGAGAGTAAAATTCACTAACTTTTTAAGAATAAATTTTCCTTTTTTTTTTTCATTTCAGCCATGGCGTTGTTCTTCAGCTTTGTCCTTCACTTAACATTTTTTCTGGGTTGTTTGGTAATTCATGGTAAAAGAGTAAGAGACCGTCGACATTGTGTCACTTGTCAGAAGATTAATGAAGATCATAAATGTAAGAATGAATGGAAAGTACCAACAAAACGAGAAGATGATGAAAGTTTATGTGAGAAATTACCTCAACTTCTTTTGAGAATTTCAATTTCCACGCCCATTATAATAGTTGTTAAGATTGTCATTATGATTTTATTTTTAGGTTATTTAGGTGCATCTGGTTGGGGTATTTATAATTTACGACAAGGTTTGCTTTTAAGTAATTTAGTAGATGAAAAGTCATATTTTTACAGTTATCAAATATGGAGTCGTGAGAATTATCAGATGGTCTTATCAATATCTGTTGTGTTTAAAGATGTTGATTATTTAGACCCAAATCAAGTATCTGGTATGGAAAAGATCTTAAAGATTGTTGAAGATGATTCTATGATTGCTGATGGTTCGTTGATATGCTGGTTTAATGCCTTTAAAAGTAGTGTACCAGGCTTTAATAATGATACAGATAGAAATACATTTATAGCACAGTCACAAAGTTTATTGTCGCAAGCAATTTTTTTTTTCCAATGATGTTACTTTCATGCCTGATGGTTCTGATATTCTGGCGTCAAGATGTCACTTTATAACCGAAGCCATCCCTGATTCCAAAGACCAGGGCAATCTAATGTTACGTCTAAGGGAGATAACTTCGAAATCTGATTTGAATGTTTTCCCTTACAGTGCTTCGTTCATATTTTTTGAACAATATGTAATGGTGTTACCAAGTACCCTGCAGACAATGGGTATTGCAGTAGCTTGTATGTTTGTTATTACTATTTTGTTTATGCCCCACCCTATCATGGTAACATTGGTCACCCTTAATATGTTAAGTATCTTGGCAGGAATTTTAGGTTTCCTTTACTACTGGGATTTATCATTAAGTTCTATCACTATGATACATTTAATCATGAGTGTGGGATTTTCTGTAGATTTCAGTGCCCATGTTTGCCATGGTTTCATTTCCTCGGATTCAGTATCCAGACATGAGAGAACTAAAGATGCATTAAGAGAGTCGGCTGCACCAATTTTAAAAGGAGGAATATCATCTCTGCTTGGCATATGTACTCTTATTTGGTCCTCCTCTTACGTCTTCAGATCCTTTTTCAAAATTATGGTCTTGGTCATAACTTTTGGCTTAGCTCATTCTCTGTTGCTATTACCAGTTGTTTTGTCTATATGTGGTCCAAAGAAATCACAAGTTATAGGAGCAGAAAAAGAAGAAAAACGAGAAGAAGAAAAGGGAGAAACGAGTCAAGTGGTCTAAATTCATGTAAATATTTTGTATCATTTATAGATTCTGCAGTGTACTTTCGTCGATTGACATCATCAGAACTGTAGATTAGTAGATGCTTTATAGTTTCGGAAATACTTATTATTAACATCAAACAAACTCTCTCGAAAATATATGACTTTCCCATTTCAGTTATATTCTAGATGCGGTCTTTTTAGCTATTGTCATCCCGTGAACGATTATAAATTCCTGAAACTGATAATCAATAGAGACTTAACATTTTATTCAAAGTGGTACTTGATAACTTTCTCATGCTTGGTGTGCATCAAGGTAACATGTCTGTCTACCATAAGCGTAGTTACCATTAATACCTCTACTCTAGGCTGTCTGTCTGTAAGTTTTAGTAGGACAACGATCGGTGAAACATGGGTAGGTTTTACATTGATGATTTACAGGTAAACATAAACAGCACCCATAACATGTCCGTAGGCTTAAAAAAATTCAAAAAGGAAAATTATCAATGATGTTTAACTACACATGTGGGAGTCGAAAGAATATTATTGGAAAAATTTCAAGATCTATCGGGAATGAGTTTTTAATGTTCAAAGCTAAATACTATTTCTCCACCCTATTTTATATCTAGAAGATCTCTTTATTTGTGCACTTTGAGTTTTTATGAACTTCTTTACTCTTAATACTACATGCATGTCTTACAGGATGTAGATTTCAGAAATTTACAGAAACAGAAACAACCAGTGGTTTGTGCAATATGGTTGTGATTCCTCAAAATCTACATCCTGTAACACATGCATGTAGTGTTGCCTTCGAATTAAAAACATTATAATGTACCACTTTTGTACCCAACAACGAGTTGAAAGTTAACATGTGAAGTTTCTTTTGACGTTTTAAATAGATATAAATAAATCGGAAGTCAACAATAACAAAAACCTACATGATACACCGTGAAGGGCTCATTTGAGAAAAAGTATATTTATTAAGCCTTGAGCGACATTCACGTCAAATGACAGAACACATTTTAATCTATTGATGCTTGTTGTAAGTATGTGTACATTAGAGGCGATATATCATTTCGTTATTTGATTTGGTTTCCTGTTTTTCTGATAACTTGCCTTTCATTTTCATGTTTGTTGACTGGTACTGTAGTTTAAAAAGGTTTTAAATTATCTGATATTTTTTTCCGTCCACATTTCTTGATACACGATAAAGGCAGCTGTATTTATCCGATTGGTGGTATCCGTGTTAAGCTCGAGTTTGTGAACATTTGGATGAACCGTTTTTATACGCCCTTATGATGGTGCAAGGGCTTATTAATCACCCTTGGGTGAACCCTTGAAAATCAGAAAATTATATGCAATGATAACATAATGATATGATTAAGAATACACTATAATTCTTTAGAAACACCAATCGATCAAATAGTTTGCTTAATTTGACACTAAAAAACAAGGAAAACCATCTTTAAATTTTACACTTCACATTCAGACGCATGTTTAGAATATCTTTGTCAAGTTTGAAATTGACAATATTTTCTTTTCTTTTTTATTAACTGTCCTTGTAAGATTTAAAACATTAAAATTTGAGACTTCAGATCATTCCTGTTTTGATAATATGATATATTTTTTAGGAGTGGTTATTATGATTTTATTATACGCCCATATGAAATGGGGGGGGGGGGGGGGGCGTATATTGTCGCCACCCTGTCCGTTCGTACGTTCGTCCGTCCGTCCACAATTGCTCGTAAAAACTCACAAAAAGTCACAATTTTTGGTATGGTTGTTTGTAATCACCCAAGGATGAAACCAGATAAATCGAAAAATATTTAGTATGAGTTATTGCCCTTGTTCTTAAAACGATCGAAAACACTCTAAATGGCGCAATTTTTGACGGATTTGGATGATACTTGGTGTGAGTGTTTCTGATCACCCAAGGATGAACCCTATTTAAAATCAAAAAGATAAAAAAATAATTAGTATGAGTTATTGCCCTTGTTCTTGAAAACACGTTCAATTTTAGCTTGTAAACACTCTAGAAGGCACAAATCTTGAGTGTAAGTAATTACCCCAGGATGAACCAATTTAAGAATAATCGAAAAATAATTAATATGAGTTATTGCCTTTATTTTTGCGTTAAATTTTTAGCTTGTGAACGCTCTAGAAAGTTCAATTATTGACAGCTATTGACGAAACTTGGTGTGAGTGTTTTTGTCACCTAAGGATGAACCCTTTTGAAAATCAGAAAAATAGAAAAATAATTGTTATTGCCCTTGTTCTTGAAAATGTGTTCAATTTGTAGCACGTAAACACTCTAGAAGGCACAATTCTTGATGGATTTTGACGAAACTTGGTAATACTATTCAGTATCGCCTCAATAAGGCCAAATATTTTTATTTAAAATCAAAGCTGCCAGTGGGCGTATATTACCTTGCCTGGCAAGCTATAATTATAATATATATTTATTTATTCAGTGATTGTTACATTATGTTATATTTTTGTATATTTAGAGGTATAATATGTCTAACATATATTTTATTATTTCTAAAACCCGCCGCTTGGAAGTAATAGTAACTTTGACTCTACAGTAATTCTTCTAATATAACTGTTAAGTCTTGAGCAGAAATATCTTGTATATGTCTCTATAGAATGACTGCAAATGCGTGGAAGCTATGTAATCAAAAAAATGATACTTTTCTATTCTGACAATTTTGCATCGCGGCATAATACTCAGTGAAAATATTTGGAAGTTGTAACTTGGAGACCAATGGAAGCAATGATTAAGTTGCATGTTCAATTCAGTTCTCAAGTTACAATATTCTTGAATAAGAAACAATTTTAAAAAGACATTCTACTTTCCTGTCTTGAAATCACCATGGTCTGGTTCTTAAGTCTTAGAACGGTATAGAATATTAAATTTACATTTGTTCAATAGTTATATTCACTTATAAGTAGGGTAGTATAATCTAACTCAAATTTCATGTGTAATCTGTTTTGCTTTGTTTTGTCAGCTTGACGCTTAATAAACTTATGTTATATTTCCTGACTCATTTGCTAGTAAAGAGTAGAATCTGAATGACATTATTTAAAGAAACTCTTGAATAATGTCAAGAACGAAGCTACATCGCCTGTAGCCAAAGATACACAAAGATTAGATATGGGCTTTAAAATGAGTAACTGCTGTGTGGAGGATTTTATTCATTCATAACCCCTGTCTATAAAGCTGCGTTCACACTCAAGCCTTATATTATAACGCTGGGGTTACAGTTTTCAAAATTATAATGATATAGTTATTCACGCACAGCGCTTCTTATAACCCAACGTTCGGAGTAGATCCTTAGATTTAGCGTTTCCGGAACGTTCCAGCTATATCAGTTAAGCTCCCAACGATAAAACAAATGTGTGAATACTTAAAGCCAGAGGCAATGATAGTGTTTCCTTTCCTAGTTCTGTTGTCAAGCGTGGATCATGCTTGCAATAATATTGATGTCAACAATTCTATCCGTTTTCTGTGAAATGGCTGAAAATGTAAACAAGGGGCCACACTGTGGCTCAAATGAAACTCTGGTGCTAGCAGAGATTTAGCGAGACCGAGATATCGAGGGCCAACTTGAAGGTGTTCGCGGGAATATGCCAGTTTACCAAAGAATCGCAGAATTGATGGCAAACCCGTAAGTACGAACGCACAGCCAAACAGTGCCTTTCCAAATTTTTGTAATTATGACCTTGACCTCGACGGAAGTAGCGAAAACTCTTAAACAATTCGAAAGGGTGATAACTTACATATTGTACAGGGCTATAACGTTATGAGAGAATGGTTATATCGTTGGAATTATATCGTTATTATTCATTACCGCTGGGAGAGGGAGCGTTTTCCCGGGAACGATCCACGGAAAACGGTGCGAAAACCTTTCAGGTGTAAACACAGCTTTATATATTTGGAGAGATGAATATAGTTTAACCTTCTCACTTGTACCATTCAACACTGGATGTATTGTATTATGCGGATAAACGGGTTAACACCAAGCCGAGTGTGCGACAACCTTAAAGGTTGACCAATAAATGAGTCTTTTTTTATATCAATGGACTTATCTGATACATAACAATACAACAGAATCCACAATATAATCCATATATAACTAAGTAATAATTCATTAAACATACTTAAAATACAGATGTGGCGTTACCCTTTGATCTCGGCGTACCATTATCCAACATAATGGTGCTGGCAAACGACCATGAGTCCATCATTGACATTAATAATGGACTCCAAATATTGGACTCTTGGTCCTCTGCAAAGTAAATGTGACCTGTTATTAATATGTATTCACGAGTGAATCGGCCTCAAGTAGTATGTGAACTCTAGTCATAATAATTATACGATGTGGGTTAAAGCATTGATCTAAGATTTGTTCTTAGAATTAAAATATTATTCTTATTTTGTCAGAAATAGAGCACTAAAATCTCTTCATAAACAACACTAATGTTTCAAATTTGATACAGCCAAGGGAATAATAATTCCAGTAGCTCGGTCATCCTTGTCACTAATTGCTTATAAAATTTAACAATGCAAAATGTAAATCACGATAATATACTTGAATATACCATAAGGGAAAGGGGAAAATTGGCCTGTAGACATACATATTCAAATTGTAATAAATGAATCACAGTCCAGATATACGAAATGAAATAAGTAAAATATCCATTTTAATCCATATCCATATCATTTATAATGAAATGAACGACAAAGCAATAAGGAAATAATAGTCTGTAACTCGAACAGGTATATTTTTATATTTTCCTAACCGGACATTTTGAAAGATTGCCTGTATTGTTGGGCATGTGATTGAATCTCATGTGACCAATATTATATCACGTGCCTTAGTAGATGTAATTGTTTGTGAACTGTATATTAAATTAGTTAATAGTCTCAAGCGTGTCAATACGCCTAATAATGACGTAGAACTCGTACCTTGGGTCCTCGTCCAACTATCATTATAACAATTATTGACAAGTTTTCGACCTTTAACCAATACCTAGAAGCGTGCTTCAATAATTATTTATTTTAATGGATATATCGTCGTATATAGAGATTATATTCTTTAGTCATGGCATCATGTAGGTCCAACTGATGTAGTCCACACTTGTTGCCATGACATTTTACAATTATTATTCATTCACCCGTATAATGTCATGAAAGTTCAAGCCTATCCTGGATACGTTGTCGTGACTAGTTACAACAGTGGCAAAATTAGATACATTTTTCAAGAAACAATGTAGAAACAATTTTCGGAAAAACTTATAACATCTTTTGAAACCTGACAGGATCATTCATTATCCGAGTGTCAGGCACAAAGTTGTCACATCAAAACTATGAAAAGTTCTGTACATATTGGCACGTTGTACGACATGGCTCCCATGTTCACTTGTATTTCAGAAAATATCATAAGCAAACAATCAACTATTTAAATGACTATACCTCGCCCTGTTGCGCAAATAAAACCAAATAAATGGCTAATTTTGCTTTAATTGCACAAATATAAATACAGTACAATATTAACTACAGGTCTTGTAAGAGGTTGGTAATTTCTGACCATTCGCTAAATGTTGAAGCCCTGAAAGAATAGAGTTTTCGTAGGACATTATAATATTATAATATACATGTATAATGATAATGAGGTCGTCCCTGACATCTAAACAAAGGGCCAGGAAACTTCTGTCGTTTACTGTGGACGAATTGGACGGCTGATTTTATTCTGAAAAGTGACATAATATGGAGAGTTGACTTTTGGTTTAAAATATGACTTCACAAATATGTAGTCTATAGAAGACAATACAAGTCCTACCTGCGACTGCTGACTGGAAGCCCGCATTATAATCACAAGCTACCTCATTATGTATGTAATCATTTCGCTGATCAACGTAATCATCAGATGACCCCGGTCCACCAACCAAAGCACCATAGAGGGTATGTGGGTTAGGTCCTTTATTCTGTTGTTCTTCCCATCCACATGGTGCTGGTATCATTGGAAAGGAACTGAAATATGTATCATCTGTTAACAAAACATCTAACTATTTATACGCTCACATCTCCTATCTTGATATTGTCTTCTTGGACGTCCGTCCTTTACATTTCTTAACACAGGTTCCTGAATATACAGTTGCAACCGATAATTTCATATATAAACTTATATGTGTACACATGTCATACACATCATAAAACAAGGATAAATTTGAACGCTTCCTCCCAATCTATTTTCAATGCAGATTGAATGTTTCGTTATTTTTGTTTTGTTTTGTTTTTTTCCGTTGTTTATTTGGCATAATTGTTCTGACAAAAATGTTCTTTAAAACATATTCACACAATTTGCAACGTATTATAAAAAGCATAGCTCCTTTTTATGTAAGTATGTAAGTAAAACCTCAATTATATGACAGAAAAAGTAATTTCACCTTCCTTGACTTGCTATTCAATGACAATATTTAGTGTAACAACTTTGATAAAAATAAACAAAAAACAAAACATACCTTCCTCTATGATGAGGATTTTTTGGAGGGTTCACACCAAATCCAATAACAAAACTTCTTCCAGTGTCTCCTAAAGCATAGTTGATCTGACTTATCGCCCACTTCCGATAGATATCAGGGTTGACCCCCAAATCAGCCGCTACCAAAGCTAGAAAGGCTGCATTAGCTGAAATGTTTAAGCAAACCTTATGTAAATGCTACGTATCGGTATCAACAACAAAATGTTGTAACGAAAATGTTTCTCAACTACTATTATCCTTCAAGTTTCAATGATTTCATAAACTCTTCTCATACGTAATTTATCTGAAATTGATTGAATAATACTAATAATAATAATAATAAATAATAATACCATTTAAATGGCGCTTAAATTATACACCAATCGGTATGCTCTAAGCGCTTATTAATCACACATTTGAAAAGTACTGTATAACGTGGAACTAACAATAATACTTATTAAATAGGTATGTTTGCGTGCTTTTTATGCAAGTATACGAATGTAGTCTATTTTCCGAAATCTTCTTTCTCTCTCACTTATGGGGATTTTGCATGCCAATTTTTATACGCCCACATGAAATGGGGGGCGTGTCGTCACCCCCGTCCGTCCGTCCGTCCGACGTTTGTTTGTAATGACCCAAGGGTCGAGTTTTCTGAAATCAGAAAAATCGAAAAATACTTAGTGTGAGTTATTGTTCTTAAAACGCTCGTAAACACTCTAGAAGGCGCAATTCTTGACGGATTTTGATGGTTTGAGTGTTTGTTATCACTCAAGGATGAACCCAATTTAAATCAGAAAGATCACAAAATAATTAGTAAGAGTTATTGCCCTTGTTCTCGAAAACGCGTTCAATTTTAGCCCTTGTTCTTAAAACGATCGAAAACACTCTAGATGGCGCAATTTTTGACGGATTTTGATGAAACTTGGTGTGAGTGTTTCTGATCACCCAAGGATGAACCCTATTTAAAATCAAAAAGATCAAAAAATAATTAGTATGAGTTATTGCCCTTGTTCTTGAAAACACGTTCAATTTTAGCTTGTAAACACTCTAGAAGGCACAATTCTTGGCAGATTTTGACGAATCTTGGTGTGAGTGTTTGTAATCACCTAAGGATAAACCCTATCGAAAATCAGAAAAATACGTTCAATTTGTAGCATGTAAACACTCGACTAGAAGGCTTGGTGTGAGTGTATGTAATCACCCAATGATGAACCCTAACGAAAATCAGAAAAATAGAAAAATATTATTGCCCTTGTGTTCAAGTTTTAGCCTGTAAACACCCTAGAAGGCCAAATTTCTTGGCAGATTTTGATGAAACTTGGTAATATTATTCAGTATCGCCTCAAAAGGTTCAAAAGAAGTGTATGTGTGAAGTTTGAATATTTCATACTGCCAAATATTTTTATTTAAAATCAAAGCTGCCAGTGGGCATATATTACCTTGCCTGGCAAGCTATCTTTAAATAATTTTTGGTCTAGATTTGGAATTTGATGTCTGAAATTGCATTATCTTTAAGATTGGTGAGATGACGAGAGACTTAAAGGCGTAAGGATAATTCTAAAAATAGTCGTTTTGTGAACTGCCAAACTCTGGCGGATGAGTATAACCGGTAGTAGTCTACTTTCAATTTGACTAGCTCAAAATTCTCATAGTCATCATTTATTGAACTTTTTAGAAGACATTAAAGATTGATCAGGCTTTCATTCGACATATTGGAAAGCTTGCAATGAGATTTCTGGAAAGAGTTGTAGATGGTTGAATTTCGTGTTTTAACATGGGAAGAGATGGCAAATGAATTAGTGGAGTGAGTCCGTAAGTTTTTATAATCAGATCTTACTGGTTTTGTAGTTGTCTCCCTTGTCACCAGTTTGCAGAGATAATCAAAAGCGATTCCATGGATGCACTGATAGGTCGGAGTTAATATCTTGTATTCGACGTGAGCTTCAACTGGGAGCCAATGAAGTGATTTTAGAACAGGAGTATCGTTTAGGTTGTACAGATTATTCTACATTAAAGATTTTTATGTGATTTATTGGTTGTCCTATCTTGTAATGAATTTAATAGAAAATTTGCTTGTGTTGAGACACGCAATTTATCATCTGAATGGTCAGATTTAAATAGCTCCAATCTAATTTCAACGCCCACGAAGTGCAGTGGACTTAGTTTAATGTGGGTTAAGAAGACTATGTCAAAACCCGTATTTGGGTTACGATGGTTATCGGGTTGCTAATTTCAAGACTGCGATTCGGAGTGATTTGCATTTAAGCGTCAATATTTCGTACTTACATGCATATCTTAGAGCTCCCCATTGTAATCTAAACGCTAAACATTTCGGTGTGTAAGGGACACTTCCACCAGGCATCCAGGCCTTCATTGTAGCTTTAATATCTTGTAAATAGACACCTTTCTTTGTGGCTTCATATAATAGGGTCTGTAAACAAGAAAAAAAACATCGTTACTTTTCTTTTTCAAGTTATATTCTAGTAGTATTATACGGAAAATCTTTTCATCCCATGAAAATCCCCAGGATTCACCTGGTATATGAGCAGCTTCAGCATCGGCTAGATATTTCTTATCACTTGTTGCTTTATACAACCATATGGCACCCCAACTATTTTCATCGGTAATATTTTCTGATCTGTGGAGAAGATATGGTTAGGTGTAAGCATGGTATGTGAAATGTGGATATATCAGTGTTTTTCTTTCAAATCATTCGTTTCTTATTAGCCCAAACAGGCGCAGAAAAGTAGGACGTAAAGTTCGATTGCATATCGAATCATATACATTCTGACTTGGATGTGCTTTTGGACAAGTATAACGGAGCCCCCACTTTGACGCTATGATAGTTCGCAGACGATAAATGACTCGAGACCACTGGACACCTTCATTTCCAACCACGAAAATTAGCTGACATGGTCCCCTTGCACATGACCCCGAGATATTCGGCCGCCGCTAACATAAGCAACTATTGATCAATGGATTTGTCTCATCAATGTTCGTTTTGAGGAGTTGTTCTGCACCTTGTTCAGCTTTTCAAATATCACGTCTGACTGATGCATCGTGGGTCAAATGTCTCTGCATTTATCAGCGCCCAAATGACGAAAATTTTGTCCGCAAACGTTTTTCCGAGGCTAATTGTCGTGATCTCTACATCAAGATGACTATTGTTTGGGACACCTGGACAACAGGTCTTGGGAATTTCTGAATCTTACTTGTAGTATGCGGCTGCAGCATTGACACTGTTACTATAATAGCTAGGATGAGCCTTAGCAAAAGTATACAGTTGTTTTGCATGAGTTAACAGAGTTGCTGAATAGGCACTATCTGGAAAAGGTTCAGTTGCTCATCATTATATCTATAGGCAAAATTAATGCAGCGTCTCATAATAATATAGTCTCAAGGCTGTCAAAACAAGAATCGCTAGAAATTTTTTTTTACGTTTGAATGTTTTTATTTAGCTATCTTTCAGACAATTTTATCGGAAATCTTAATTCAACGCGAAATTGGAATCGTATTTGATCTTCTTTGATGTTTTTTTTTTGGGTTTTTGCACAGAAGTAATTATGACAGGCTTCAAAGTCCAGTTTACTACAAATGGAATGGATATATTATATGTTACGCCCTACCCTTCAGTACCTTTAGTTTGAAAAGCAATAGAACCAGCAGCCATAGCCGCAGCTGTTTCCATGGCTACATCAGATCCTGGACTGGAGGCATCGATTTTGAAAGAAGGTCTATTTCCCGTCATTCTTTCTGGACTAGTCCAGCTGCCATGGTCTATTCCACCATCACCAACCCGCCAATGCAATATTAACCATAAAGTACTATTATACATAAAAAAAACAACATAAAAATTACTCAATAATGAATTTTTTACGCCAGAAGATTTTTCAACCAATACATCCAGAAAATAAAGAATCAGTCATGATTACCTGAATGTACAACTCACATTTTATAAAATAATCAGGTGGCCACTTGATGCTACTGTACATTTTATCTAATTCACCAGCATTTTCATAAGCATCTTTCCATTGAATCAACCCCCATGTTAATACAGTCGTACTCCAAGCCATAGGAAAATTAAACTTTACATTGTCTCCAGCTGAAATGAAAGAGGCTAAAAAATTGATATTATGTAATAAAATACCAGGCATTGTGTATTGAACAAAATTAAAATTTTACCACCAACGCATGACATGGTAATGTTGTAAGCACTGAACTAACTTACCATCATACCATCCACCAGTTAAATCTTCACCATTTGATCCTTTATCATTTAAAGCTGAATCTCCTCTCCGTGGTATTCTGTTATTAGCTGGTAGTTTACCAGATCTCTGGGCTTCATAGAATAAAATCGACTTCATCAAAACGTCGGCATAGTTATATTTACTTTTTTGCGCACCTATTTTATATACAATAACAATAATTGTCGTCAGCCTAACGAAACTGGTTATTTTTTAAAAATTGACACCGATATGGAGTTAAAGGGGTTAACATATGCAGGTCGTGAATGCTGATAATGTCATCCTAAATTCGCTGGAAGCTTTTGTTAAAATTTTTGACATTTTGACAATTTGGAGAAAGCAACCATCACAAGCATAAAATATCTAACGTTTAGTCTCATTTAGTAATACATTTCCTTTAGAACTGTTTGATTTTTGATATGGCTCATCCCATTCGGCAGTTTCCGTGAAGATGAATCTGTTTCGGTAAAGAATGCTGAATTTTGTTGACTTCTTCAGCGAGGCGGTTACTTCCGACATTTCACATTGACAAGTGATAGTTATACCAATATATTTCCACAGCTTTGGGGGATAATTCTGTCCCTTCTGTCGGTTAATCTGGTCTAACCTCGATGGTGCGAAAGCTTAAGATGAAGCACCGCACCCCCTTCTTTTACTTCATCATGATCATGATCACAAACAACCATTAGTCAAATTGATGATTTTAATGTCAAAGTTAACAATCATATTGTGTGGTTTACCTGGTTTAACATTTAATGGTGGTAACGTCTGATGATCATTAGTAAGATCTACCAGGGTACCGGTTGCTGATGGTTCACCACTACCACAAGTATTTGCCATGAATTTCAAACATAATTGTTCTCCTTTGTCATGCACACCTTTATAATTCTTATTGACCAGTTTAGCTTCAGTAATACATTTAGTATCATCAGGTTGCTCTATCCAATCAGCTTCCCATTGCTTGCAAAAACAAAATTACAATAATGACGTATTAACCTATATTAAAAAACAGGCCTGTATAGTTCATTTGTAATTCGTCAATAGGCCAGACGACAAATGAATTGCTGAGTTGAAAGATAACTTGCTGGGTAAGATAAACCCACACCAGTAGTAGAGAAATATTCAAATTATAGATTGGTATAAGGACGTAACATTTTAAACGTTGCAGTTTTAGTGACACTTAAGTTCAAATGATGTGGATAACTTGATATTTTCTAGTATATCTAAACAATATGAAGAGAATAATTGTATCTCACAATTTCATCAAGACCAGGGAAGAGAAAAATGTGGTATGGTATATTTCAATATCCCATTATAATTTCACAAAGCACGTCAACAATTGATGACAAAGTTAACACACAAGTTTATTGATATTCTTATAATTACCCACAGTTGAATAGTACATAAATATTTACAGCAATCAATTACTGACTGCGATGAGAGAAATAAAAAGAGTTCACATGGTTGTTGGTGTTGTTTTGTTTTGTTTTTTTAATCATTTTGTTCTTGTCTTTTATTTTTCCTTCTTTTACATTTACTTTATTTCATTATTTTTTTTTTGGGGGGGGGGGGGGGGGGGGGGGGGGGGGCCTTTTAAAAATTTTTTCC